TGCTACACAAATTTTTTCTACTTAGTGTCTGCATTAATCCTCATCCTGCTCTTTTTCCACTTTGTTCCTTCTCCTGCCATACTGTCGTTACATGTATATGGACCAGTCATCTAAGCTGAAGCTTTGCACCACCAAAACATGGGAAGAGTTACCTGCAGATGGGCAAGCAAGATTTGCAAGATCTGCTGATAACAGGTTTCCCCCCTTAAGGGACAAATAAACATTTACAAATAACCTCTATGGTCCTCTGTTCAAACTTCTACTAGTACTACTCTGCTCAAACTTCTACTCGGCCTTGGTGAGACACTTCCTGGAACACTGCATCCAGCTCCGGGACCCTCAACGTTGAATCTTTCTTGCTCTTGTTGCACCTTCATTATCTACCCTATAATAATTAATGCCATACTTTCTCCTAACTTCTTTTCAGTATTCTTGTCCTTCCATCCACAATCATCTCTACCTTTTCCCTCTATACTGACCTCAAGTACAGTGAGCTGCAGAGAAGGTAGAAAGTGTACAAGTAACACATTACCCCACTGACTATATCATGTCTAACTTGATTTTCTAATGCCTGCAACCAGGGCTCATATTTATCTGCATTCTTGTCATGCTGTTGGCAGTTGCCTAGTCAGAAATAAAACAGGGGAGAGATGTGTTATTGCAGAGAATAAACCATTCTGGAATATTCATAGTATATACAGATTGAACTTAACAACATTCAATTATTAGCAAAATTTACAATATCTTCTAGCATTACCTACATTTACCATCTTAAATGCAGTTACTTAGAGAAGAACAAAAGACAAAAAAAAATGCATTTTACAGCCTGAAACCCAAATAATCCGCAAGCACAATGTCAATCAGCTTATGGGCATTCTCAAAAAAAAAAAAAACAAACAGAAAAAGAGAAGGTGGAAGGACTTTGATGAATGAAAAATTGCTGATCACGCAGAATGGATCTCCCATGTAGGAAAAAATATTATTACAAGATCACCAGGGAAATGAGGTCACTTAAGTATTCAAGGCAGGTATACAGCACATTTAGGACAGGGCAGAAGAGCAATAATATGATTAAGAAGGTCTAAGAAGCAGTGATAGATTAACTCATGTCAGCCAATGAAAAGAAACTTGGATTTTATGTGGTAGGAAAGTTAAATATTAAATGCAAAATAAATGCATTTCAGACCTATATTTTAAAAGAAACAAACAAGCAAAACCTTAGTCCAAGTCATGAGAAACTGAAAGTATGCTAAAAAAATACAGTTCACTAATTCATTACTGGGTGAACGAATAAACTCACATACAGAAGAGTTACAGAACAAGCTATTGAACACTATTCTGTGCTCTCTATGTTTGTCCATCAACATTGATTCACTGACATACATTCAGAAAGTGAGCTGGCAGAAAGGCAGATGAATGAAAGGATATGAGAAAACAGGGTGAGCTTACAATAGTTAAAAAAATAAATGTTCTTTGGAATAAAAATGGTTACATGAAAGAAACACAAAAGATATGTCCTGAGAAGAACATGAAAATGTTTTTAAAAGTAAGCATTTAGTTATGATAACAGAGAGTTATATAATCAGTACAGCTTGAAGAAAAGCAGGAACTTTCACAATGCTTGTTCTGCCTTTCCTGTATTCATTAGCTCATGAGAGAAACTACAGGTATGTTTATAGAAAGATGATTACTATTAAGAAGCTCCTGTATCTTCTGTGGATTTATATTTATTATTTCTAATCCTTGTAATCCCTTATTACTACAGAAGAATATTTAAATTCCTTTGATTTCAAAAAGCCAGAGACAGTGTTTCATACTGCAGAAAAAATGGACTTTAAGAGGCAGAAAGTTAGATTTTTATCCACACGAAGGCAGTATGGAGACACTTCATACTACTGCTTTACATTTTATGACTGGTTTTTCAGTGTAGTTTCATGATTGTTTTTTTTTATAAAGCTGTGATTACTAAATGCTTGCCTATTGCATTGCGAGTTTCATTTAAAAAGTATACATATTATGTTTAGACAGAAGGAAAAAACTCCAATGAATAGTTTTCCTTAAACAGTCAACTGATAATCTTGATTGCATGATGGCAAGTATTTTAAGCACATACTACAAAATATATTCCAGTAATAACAAATCTGTCAGATTATACTTCACAATGGAAAGATGCATTTGCATGGACTTTTTCACTTTCAAAATGTGCAAGTAATTACATAAGGAATTCACACAAAGGAAGTCAAAAGCCTTATGAGGGACAAATAGCACACATGATCAAACAACAAAAAAGAAACCCTAACTTGCAGAGTTAAGGACAAAGTGGCAGAGGCTTTGAGAAACAGACTGAGATTTACAGACAAGGATGAACAGTGATAACACAGAAAGCAGCAGCAACAATAAGGCCTGAAGAAAGATAACTGTGTGAAGTAAAATAGCTATTACTGGGAAACGTAAGAGGTGACATTTCAAGGCAGAAGACATGGTAGTAATAGAAATATGCATAGAAGATAAAGGAAATAAAAAGTATAAGGTAGAAGGCCAGAACAATGTATGAAATGAAAACTCTTTTTTCTTCTCTCTAGGTGACAAATTTAATAAAAGAGTTATGAAAGAGATGGACACCTGATACACTGTAAATAAAATCTTTCTGTGATAGGAGAAAAGGAATATTTATTTTCCTTATCTTGGCTTCTTAATGAACTGGACATGACAGCTGTACAGCCATTCTTGATCATCCTTAAAATGTAATTAGAAGTTGTACAAGTCAAATACCATGTATGTAGTATGGAAAATCACTTCCTAAATTTTATAGAACATGTCACAGGTACAGTAGAAGAAAATATGTAAAAGTAGATACTATCTAAAAAGATATCTCAGAGACAAACTGTTAAAACACAATTTATAATACTGAGAAACTGAATTGTATATTTGAAAAATACATTTAAAGGAAACTAGAGGGACTTAAAAATATATCAGTTAAAAAGCCTGCTCGCTATGAGGCCTATGAGACATAAGAGACACTTAGCTACCATAATGAGATCACAACAAGGATGGAAAGGAAGAAAATATTTTAGACTCTTAATGAACCAAATAATAGAATCAGGGGTGGGTGAATTCCAAACTTAGTAGTCATCACTGAAATAATGGTTAAAAAACTTAATTTCTTAGAGCTACATTTTGGCAACAATGTATTTCAAAGAAAAAATACATGTGAAATGTTTGAGATCAGTTACTTTGATTCCACACCATTTTATGTGCCAGGGACACAGGAAAAAAAATTAACTCTTAAACGTAAGAAATGGTCATCAAGTAATTATGAATGATTGAATCAAGAATATCCTGAGTTAGAAGGGACCACAAGCATCATCGAAGTAAAACTCCTGGGCCTGCACGTGACACACCAAGAGTCACACCACATGCCTGAGAGCGTTATCCAAACACTTGTTGAACTCTGGCAGACATGAGGCTGTGACCACTTCCCTCAGAAGCCTGTTCCAGTGCACAAGCATTCTCTGGTTGAAGAACCTGAACCTAACCTAAATCTCCCCTGACAGAGCTTCACAGTTTTGTTCACTAGGAGTTAGTTTACAGTATCATATGCTGAAGACTTCTCCAGCCTGTTAAGAGTCCTGTGAGGTAAAACTGCTGTTAGTTATCAGTTATGTAATGAATAGTAGCCAGTCCTAGTTAATAAGATTTAAACTGTTTAAAATAAAGTAAAAGTTTACAAGTATTAAAATCAAGATCTTTACAGTCCTGACAAATCAATAGTAAAAGTATAAAGATGCAACAGGTACAAAATACAAAATGAATGCAACTAATAACTGAAGTCTGAATATTAATTATAACTATTTAAGATTTTTTTCACTGTCATTTTTGCAAAAAGAGTAGTGACAATGATTGTTGATGGTTACATATTTACATATAAAAATATAACAGCAATGTTAAGGAAACAAGAGATAGGAAAAGCCTCTGTAAGCATTAAGGGTACCAGAATACTTTTTAAACAGCAAGACAAGAGTCATCTGTGCCCTGGAAGAACACTTTTTCTGTTTTGGTATTCTGAGAAACTCAGATTTAAACCATGCGTCCAACCTGCTGTCAAACTTTAGATGTCTGCACCTATGTGGTTTTGGTTTTTGAGGGATACCTGTTTTATAGCAGTGGTGAGCTCAAAGCATTGCTTCTATTGATCTAAGCTGCAGTGACAAAAACTCAGAACTTGTGAATTTACAGGTCTTAAATATGAAAGAATATCTGAAATACCTCAATGAGTACATGGTGACTTGACCACAATTCAGTTCTCTACAGAGGTATTTCAAGCAATTGTTTTTAATCTTTTTTCTTGTATGCATGCATTCTACTCTCAAAGTATAGAAAAACCCAATAAAAGTGTTCTACAGAGCTACTTCTTTTTTCCAGGAAGCATCAACCGATTTCTTGTGCAGTATCTGTTCAGTGCATCACATGAGAGAGAAATAGTCAAAAGTCATCTCTCAGATACAGAAGGAACCAAAATAAAGAGTGGGACGCCGAAAAAAGTTTCATGAACAGCAGCAGAGGTACAAGATGAATATTATTTTGATATCTTCATATTGCTTTGTAACCGGAAAAAAATCAAGCCTTGACTATCGTAACAAAAACGTTGTACCAACTTGATCAGAGTGGCAAGAATGCCTTCCCTTCATCAACAGGGCAGAAAGCCCTTCCCAAAAATACGCGGCTTGATTATCTGGCTGTAGCACTACCTTGTCACCTGCCCTACGAGGGCCATGCATTATGTGGCTTTGAAACCTTGAAAAGTTTCTCCGAGATACTGAGAAACTGGTTCTGAGGGTCCGAAATCCCTCGTTCCTTTCCCGATTCTTACAGCCAGCCTGTTCCAGAGGTTCCTGTTCCACTTCGGCTCGCATACAGACCGACACACCCCCCTGCTAGACCGCCTTCCACAATTTTAGTTCCGCCGAGCAGCAGACGCGGCGATTTCTAGATTCCGAGAGAGCACAGCGCGTTTCGCCGCCCGCCCCCAGCCTGCCCCCGCCTCCAGCGCCCTGAGGAGACTCCCTCCTCCCCGTCCGGCGCAGGACCGCCCCTTCCCGCTCCGGCAGCGCACGGGCCCGGACTGCCGCACCGCCGGGACCGCCTCACACGGTTTTCGGCGTCGCCTTCCCGCTGCAGCTGGCAGCGCCCACCAGCGCCTCGGACCCCCGGGAGCTCGGGGACTGCGCAGCGCCTTGCACGGGAGAGAAGGCGGCCGCGGGGAGCGCCGCTGCTCCGCGGGCGGCCGTAGCGGATTCCAGCCCGGTCCCGCTCGGCGCCAGAGCCCGGCCGTACGGTGAGCTGAGGGGAGGGGCAGCCCCAGCGGGGCCACTTACCCGGCCGGGATCCCCCCGCGGCTCCGCGCCGGCGGCCCCGGCGACCGCGGAGCGTCAGTTACAACGTCCCGGAACGGCCGCTCCGCCACATCCGGGGGCGGGGCGGGGGAAGGCGGGAACTCGCCGGGCTGCGGCGCCTGGCGGGCAGCGGGCCGGAGCGAACCGAACCGAACCGAACCGGCGTTAGCACAGCGCCCACTCCCGCGGTCTCCGTACGTGAACGCTGGGGGCTCTCACCGCAGCCAGGGGCCCTCGCTCGACACCTGCTGCCCGGGACCGCCGCCAGCCCGCCGCACCCGGTGGCATGTCCCTGTGGCGGGGGCGGCGGGGATCCTTCCCCCGCGGGGCGAGGGGAGCTTGCAGGGAGCGGAGCAGGGAGCCTCCGCGGCAGCGGAGCAGGGCTTCGAAGGGCTGAGCCACCGCGCATTTGCGTGTAGAGAGAGCCCTGATGCCAGACCTGGGGGGCTCGGCCCGCTGCGTGTTGCAGTTTGGGAGTCTCAGGCTACTCCGGTATCGCCTTTTAGGTGTCTTTGCTGTGACAAGCAGTGAGAGCTTAGAATGTGGTGTACTAGTATTCATTCCTTTTGGTATGTTTTCCTATTTTATTGGAAAAAAAGTAGCAAATACTAGTCAGGCCTTGCAAGCAACTTCCCATGGTGTGTACTTTGTGTGTTAATGTTTCCTTTTCATTCTTCTTTCAGCAGATGGCAAGTTGCACCCAGAAAAGGATAATACAAATCACTGGATTTAAAAATCAAGAGAAGAAGGCACTACTCAAATGCCTGTTCAAGCTGAACTGTGTTTTTGTAGAGAGTAAGGTATTGTTCATTACAATACAGCAAAGAGAATTAGAGCTGGAAATAAGATGCAAGTCTTAGAAGAAAGAACTGTGCAATAGGTTAGTTATGTATAAATAGACAAAGAATTTAAATGTTTCCAGTGATACAAGTGTGTTGTTTTGTTTTGTTAGAAATACAGAAATTGTACACATCTTGTAGCAAAAAAGCTGTGCAAGAGTGAAAAAGTCTTAGCTGCCTGCGCTGCTGGTGAGTAAAAGATTTGCTGTTTAATTTCGTAGCATCACAGCATAAGTCTAGAAATGACCCTTAAAAGGGTTTTATTTATCTGTTTTCATTTTGTGATTGAACTGTGTTACAAAGCTTCATTCTTCTTGTTCCATTAACCTTGATTTTTAACACAGTATTATGTTGAAGTTATGATGAAGTCCTCTTTTTTGTTCTGATTTTTTTCTCCTAAATGATATTCCTACTATTTCCCTTTGTTGGATCTGCATCTGTTCCCAAACCGAACACTTTGTTATACATTAGATAATGAAGTCATGCTCAAATTATTTGGATGCTTAAGAAAGGGTAGAGGGAGCAGGAACACCTGTAGTCAGCATGGATTTTTGATGACAAATTCACATGAAACATTCACTGGTAAAGGTCTGTCATGGTTTGACACCGGCACAATGCCAGTGCCCCCATGAACATGCAGCCTCTCAATTGAATGCTGTGAAATGCAATCAAGAGCAAAGCAGGCCCAAGCTTAATAACAAGGGAAAAAAAAAACCTTTATTAAGCTACTAGTACTATACTACTAGAAAAGGAAAAAGAAAGGAAAAAAAAAACCACACACACAAAATTGAAAATGCAAACCTTCCAAAGCATTCCTCCTCCCACCACCCAACTCCAACCAACCACAGTGAGACACAATCTGGACCCCAATCAGGTTTCCACCCTCCAGATAATCAACACCCAGTCCATCTGCAGGGAGAGAGGAGCCTCTCCTGTGCCACAGGCCCCCCAAGAAACACAGCTGCCACATCCTGTGTTTCCATGTCACCACATGGCACCGCCCGGAGAAAAAAGTTTGCCATGGTGGCCCTCTCCTTTCCATGCACAGTGCTCTCACTACCAATGCATGGATGGACAGACTGCTTTTAGGATTTTTCCTTTCAAGGATGCCCTGCCAAGAGGGGAAAAAAGAACAGTTCAGTTTTTCATTTTTGGGACCACAGTCCCCCCCATTTTCCCCTGGGGCCGAGGGTCCAAGAACAGAGATCTTCTTCTCTTCTTCCTCTGCGAAGACAGGGGGCACCACCACAAACCTCCTTAACTTTTCTCTATTCGGTCCACTTCTGTCTTTTCCCAGCTGAAGCAGGTCTCTTTGGCTCACCAGCATCCTCCTAAAATACAGTCTCTCTTGGAGAAGAAGACCGGTTTAGTCTGTGGCTACCAAGAAAAAGTCCAGCCAAAAGCCACTCCATCATCTCCTCCCACCTAGAATTTCTCCTTCTACCATCCCAGGGTCTAAGCTGTCTCTCTTCCTCTCTTTCAAACCGAGGAGGAGAAAAATTTCACAAAGCTTTCATTGCTCAGGAAGGGTTAAAAAGCTTTCATTGCTCAGGAAGGGTTAAAAGTCCCAACTCCCAGAGATGGCTTGCTGCCCAGGCTCCAGCTCCCACAGCCCGGCTGGGCACCTTGCGGCCCCCCCCGCTCTTCTCCTTCCCCACGGTGAACTGCTGATAAACTGCCGCTGTGTCTTTCTCTCTCTCTCTCTCTCTCTCTCTTTCTCTCTCTCTCTCTCTCTCTCTCGAGAGAGAGAGAGAGAGAGAGAGAGAGAGAGAGAGAGAAAGAGAGAGAGAGAGAGAGAGACAGAGAGAGACCCCCGGTTCCAGTCCCTCCACCCTTGGGCCTACCTCCAAAGGCCACATGGCTTTCCCCTCCCCAACCCAGCTCATCACCGGGGCAGGGGAGAGGCTATACTGTGCGCTGACCTGAACCAAAGAGAGCGAGTTCTCCTGGGACTTCTGCTTTTAACCCCTCTGTGTTCTCAGAGGCATGTCCACCTTCAATTGGTCAATATCTAGATTGACCTCTTCCTTCCGAGAAAAATTCTTTTTCCCTGTCAAACCACGACAAGGTCACTGTAAGTTTCTGTATGCAGCAAGAGAAAATTCCAGGCTGTTGCCATTCTGACACAAGCTTCTGGTCTTTCCTCTTTAACTAGGGTCTGATGGTGAAATCCCATACATTAGCAACTAAAATGCTTTTAGAATGAAAATTCTGTATTTTAAGACTTCTTTATAGACTGATGACCTATCAGAATTCTGTGATGCAGTTTGAGTATCTTGTAGTTATAAGATATCACAATACCATTTTTAAGCATGATACTTATTTTCCCTATATCATATTACTCTAAAGTGTTAAAGCAGTTGTTAGGATGGATAATCTTAGAGATGATAGACAAATTACTAAACATACATTTGGTTTTAAAGTTATATGTAAATTCTTTGATTTCCACATATACATATGTATGTATGTATCTGTGTATTTTTCTTTGTACTTAAATAAAATTCTGATTACAATCTTACCAAAAATGAAATAGACAAAAGTTTCCAAGAGGGGAAAAATATTAAAATGCATCTAGGTTTCTGGCACAGTGCTTCATTTTAGCAATTTTAAACCCTTGAGTTAATGTTTTCTGACATTTGGAGTCTAAAATTTGAAGATGTTCTTTTAACAGAGTGGAAATGGTGCATGTAGTGTCCTCATGGTGAAGCAAAACTCTGTCATGCTTCAATACATACAAATCTTCCCCAGTACCATCTTACCTCTTCTTAATCCAGAGGTGCTAATTTTGCATAGTCATTGCTCTTACTCACCATGGCAGAGACAGTGTATTCATTCCTAATTTGTTGTTTTCCAGGTAGTTAAGAGATCATGTTTAAACACATTTAGAACTCCATAGAGTTCATCAGAAATACTATCAAGGATTCCACTTGTCATGTACTTCCTAGCTGACAAGTTTTGGGATGGAAACTTCATGTGAAAGTCGTTTTAACATCCAGGTCATGCGCAGCATACCTTTTCCAGTCATAAATCGACTGGTACCTGTGCTTGGTTTTGTAGAAGTGCCATCTGCGCTCCTGCACTGAGACATTTTGTCAGTCAACCCTGCTGTTCTGTGAAACCAATTAGGTTCACACAATTCAAGTTCTCTTACAGTGTCTTCTGTAGGAAGTATTTCAATACAGGAGCGGGGTACTAACCACTGCTCTTGACCTGAACCTGTAAGAAGAGAGAGAGACAGGGAAGATCATTACATACTATATCAAAAGCATAGATGTGGAAGATGAAAGAGGAGAGGTGGAGGAGGTGGAGCCAAGGGATGAGAGAAAAGGATGTGAAAAGAAGAAAGGGGAAAGAAAAAAGTCTAAAACTGTGCCCCCCAAATATTGATAGTCACTACATTAGCAGTGCAAGTAATATTAAGAATATATAAGAGAAAAAGCTTACATGTTAAATGTCTAGTCCTTCTTTAAAATCATAGGTAGTAAAATATTTCTTCATTTTAGTACATTTGTAGAAGTGTCAAATGGTATTAAAAATAAAGGCCTTACCAATGGAAGTCCTAAGAACAAAATTTGTGATGTTGAAAAAATGTATTTGATATTTTTGAGGACATAGACAAGTATTTTATCTAGGAAGGGTAAAAAGGTACTTAATCATTAAAAGAAAACAAAGCGATCATTTTCAGTGGCATTGTGAAATTTTTAAATGTGAAGTGGAAGACTCTTGTAATAGGAAGAAGTTTTTTAAATGGTACTTATAATTTCATCTTTTATTTGACAAGAAAGTTTAAGTTAATTTTATATTAGTTCTTCAGTTGATTGCCATTTGTCTCCACAAAAAATCTTTTGTGGTTGACAGTTCATTTTCTTTTTAGGGAAGTGGGTACTAACTAAGGAGTACATAATTAATAGTGCTGAAAGTGGCAGATGGCTTGATGAAACAACGTACGAATGGGGATATGAAATTGAAAGAGACACCCATTATTCACCTCAAATGCAATCTGCACCTAAAAGATGGCGTGAAGAACTGACAAACTCTAGTGCTCCAGGGGCCTTCCACAGATGGAAAGTTGTCCTCCTTGTTAAGAGAGGTGATAAACGAATGGCATGTATTAGAAGGTAGGAGTTCCATCACAGTTAATTTGGTCCATAACAACCTCCAGCTATTCAAACAATTATTTTCATTAATATATTTCTGTACCTTTATAATGACTTTAAATCTGTAACATCACTGCTTTTCTTGCCTTCTTTTAGTATAGTGTTTAAAATAACATGCATATTTTTTTATCAGGTAAGCTGCTAACAGAAACTTCCTTCATGAGGCAAGATACACAGATTTACAGTTTTTATTTTGTGTGGGCATTAGATTCAAATAGTAGCTAGAACTGTATACTTTATTTCACTTGACTAGGTGACCTGACTATGTTTCATGGATCTGGGCCACAATGCTACTGACCTGATGAGTCTGTGTCACATTTATGTAATACATTCTTCTAGTTCTGAAGATGTAATTTGTTCTAAAACACATGACTCTAATATATTATAAATACAGGTAGGTTAGAAAGGGAGTATACAGAAGCAGAAAAGGAAAGAAGGAAAAAAAGAAAGGTAAGTAAAACCAAAGTTCAAGAATGCTGAGAACATGTTTCTTTTCCATACTCTTCCTACACATTTGGATTCATTACTTTAAATTCTATACCTGAATTGAACTTAGTGCATATTTAAGTCTTGTTTGCATCTGGTACAGTAAAAGGAGCATCTCCTGACAGTTTAAGAGCTTTCCATTCATTCAGATACTGTCCGGCTTTCTATTGAGATCCCGGTTAGGACTGCTCAGGTCTGAGTGTGCCACAGATCTACAGTCAAGAAGAGAACTGCAGTTTATTGGATCATAGTACAGGGCTTTATGCTATATCACAGAATGCATGTCTGTATTTCATAAAGACATAAAGTGAGGGGTAATTGGAGTTGTTATCTTCTGATTTTGCTAACTGAAAGTATTTTAAGTATGCTATTTTTTGGCTGAGTGGGAGAATTTACTATGTCCTGCTACACTTGTGAAAAATGCTGCTTCTTTTTCTGTAAGAACTGCTTATGTAGATATTCATGATAACACTGTTGAAATGATGTCTTGCACACTGCTGTCTGTTGCTATTTTTTGCAATAGAAATAACCTCTAACAGGAGCAACATCAGTAAGATGGATGAACAAGTTTGGTGGAAGATGTTTTTTTACAGACTTTTTCCCATGTACTCAGTTTTTAGTCAGTCATAAAACCCTGACAGGTAGACATTTTTTGTCTTCAGCAGCTACTGGTTTCAGTCATAAAGCGTGCTATTGCTTTGGGGAAAGTCTGGGGTTTTTTCTAATATTTAACAACATTGTGCCTTTTATCCCCTTTCTATGCTCTTCCTGCCTTTAGTGCCTTGCTGTTGGATGGGTAAGTGTGTGTAAGACCAGCACCATTTTCTTTTTATATATCTGGATAATGAAAAATAAAACCTATATCCAGAATATCATTAGATCTTATTTTCCCACCTTTTCTTTTGTCTGACATTTTTTCTAAAAGATGGGAGCACTTGCAGCTGTACAGGTCTGAAAATTCTCCCTGGGGAAACTATTATGCGTAATGGTGCCCCAAAGACAAGCAAATCTCTTCTGTATATCATACTGGACAGCACTAATGCTGCAAATGTATATTTTTGTTATGAAAACATTATACTATATTTCAGAAAAGCAGTGTGCCATTTTTGGTTAACTGCCTAATTTATAGGAAAACTTAACAAAAATATTATTTTGGGATAGATAATGCAATAAATTATAGCTGCTACCATACTTAGAAAGGTACACAGATGAAACTTTTTATCAGACATATTGGAGGTGTACATTGATTCCAATAACTAGTGTTAAATTTTGAAGAGAATAATGTTTTGTTAAGTAGTTTCTTTCATTTTCCGAAGACTTTCAAGTGCCCTTTTAGCTTTCTAATGAAGTTTGTGCTGTGCCATACATCTAGAAGCCTTATTCAGTTGCGCTTGCATGCTTGTATTTTTGTAGCTTTAGGCAGTGTTAATATAATATAGTAAATACATCTTTCTAAATATGTTTATTTAGAGTTCTTAAAGCTGGAAAGGCAACCATATGTTCATCTGAAAATGTGGAGCACGATATAACTCATGTATTCATCGGTGGTAAAATTTCTCCTTTACAAAATAAAAAGCATCTCTCTGAAGCTCGACACTACAGTTTGAAATATATAGGACATTACCTTTTTCAAGTGAGTAAACTATTTATTAATTGCTATAAATAATGGAGGGGAATATAATCAGCCAGAGTGTTTTGTGATTTGATTAAAGTTAAGACAACTTTCTGATTCTGGGACCATGTATCGAAAAGATAGGAAGGCTCATGAATATATATAAATATCTGAAAGGAGGATGCATAATAGAAAGGCAGGTGCCCAGTTACAAGAAAATGAGTACAAATGGAAAGTCAGGAACCAGTTGGGTTTTCTTGCTGTGAGATTGATGAAACACTGTTGTCAGGTTGTCTGAAGGGGCAATAAAGTCTCCAGATGCCATCTGGATGTGGTCCTGGGCAAGTGCAGAATTCACTAGAACCAGAATTTTGTTTTACTGTTTCCCTTAAGAAGGATCCCCCATGTTCCATACTTGTTTGCTTACCAGATGCACCATTCGTATTTTGATCTGGAGCTACTAGAAGGCTTCAGAATATTCATTTATTTCTCAGACTCTGGCGTGACTTTAATCAACTGCTAATTGAACCTACTACCCTTGTAAGCAAGTACGAGCTAAAACTCTGTTACCATTTGTAAATCCTTTGGTCTCTTCTGATCAAAGCACTTAGCTCTCTCTGTAGTAAAGGTATTACAGAAGGGTGAGAATATTGGAAGGTCTCAATGTTTATATCCTGAATAAAACATCAATGTGGGCTCTTACCCTACTGCTTACTCTCTTAATGAAACTTGTTCAGGGAAGTTAGTCTCATTTAAACCTTCCAGATAAGATGGAAATTTTCACAGATAGATTAATGTAAAAATTTTATGGTTATGTTAACTTTTATTGATCTCTATCAAAATCATGTGTTTTTTGCTATGCACCTTGAATTCCCCCCAGGTGAGATAACAACTTTCCATCTTAACAAGTCCATTAATTTGCATATATCTTTTTTTGCTTAGATTTCATTAAAGGAACTCACCTCAGAGACCAAGAGAACATTAGCTTTCTATTTAAGTGAATCCAAAGAACTCAGGAAACTGCCAAAGCTCCTAGTCTCTTAAAGGAAAAGAGTAAAATATAGGCAATCAAATCACAGCACTTTCCAGATACATTAAACTTTATCAAAGAATGTTATGGACAAGCTCTTTTTATCCCAGAAGTACTTGCGTATTATTCATTAGATTGTTCCAACTTCACAAATTTATAGTTGTGCTATTTGACTGCTACTTCTAGCAAATATAAATCTCATTCCTCCGCTAAATATCCATACCTATGTCTAGATGATGGATTTAGCAAAATAGCATTATATTCTTTTCAGGGCAGCTGAAACTCCACTGATGTTCAGAGTATTTTTGGTGTGATTTTTTTTTAACTACGTCTTTACTTCATGTTTGTATTTCAGTATCTGTTCTTATTATCTCAACCTTGTAAGTCTACTGTTTCACTACTGTGTGGGATTGTCATTGGTTACATGATGCTATATGGCATCAAATTTATTGGTTCAGGATATTAAAACACATGGATGATTTTTTTTTAGGAAGCTAGTCTCATATTTAAACATTGACTCTAAAAGCTTTGTTAGATGCATGCAGGAGTTTGTAATTTTTTGCCAAAATTGTACTATAAATTGTTTGAATCTAAGTGTTTTGGTGAGGACATTGAAACTAACTTCCATAAAGGGCCATAAGAAGTAAAGATTAGTTAATGCATCAGAGTTAATTATCCATGGCTCATCAAAAGCTATATAGAACTTGAGTCTCGTTACCAAAAATACTTCACTCTCTTTTGAAATGTGCAAGAAATTTTTGTTCTCGGTATTTGTTTAGAGATACATTATGCACGTGCCAAATATGTTTGTTCTGAACAATACACTTAAGGGAAAAATCTGAAAATAGGATGAGACATGTAACTTTTGAAACTCTTTCTTGAAAACATGGAAGTATAAACTTCTTGCACCTTGTCATTTCATGCACTACTGTGTTTTTTCTCTACTGTTACGTTGCAGACTTGATTCACCCATCAGATTGAAGTGTTTGAATTGTTAGGCAAGTTACACCAAGCCTTCCACACCTGGTCACAATAAGAAATGGCCAAGGAATACTTCATCTGTATCTATCTGATGATTCTTAACTCATGACACTGCAGGAGGAGTCTGGTTTTGTGGATACCTGTTTATTTACCTTAAACAAACATGGTGTTTTATTCTTGACTTGTGTATCTTTGATGAAAAGCATGCATTGAAACTCTTACTGAAATGTATGTTCTCAGTCTATTGAGTAAATTTAAAATATTTCGTATAGTTGTTTTTTTCAAGCAAAAATTATTTTGTGGTGTTATGGAAACCAATTTGAGAAATGCTTCCTATTTCCTATGCTGAAGAACTAGCTGAAAATAATAGGTGGACTTAAAGAAAAAATAAGACAGTAAAACCTATTAAATTTTAAATTACTATTTTTTTCATGGTTATAGACAAGAACTGAAAAGATTTCATTGTAGTGGTCTATATGAAATAAATAGATAAATTGAATAAGAAATGCCTTATAAAATCTTTATGTCTACATTTTTGACCAGTTGAAAATGTGTGAGCTCTGGTTATCGTTTTTGAAAAGTTCTGAGAGAGAATCTGTTATGAAGTAATAGTCCTTGTTTCAGCCACAGAGATTGCTACTTAACCTAAAGTCAGAAAAAACAAATATAGGGAAGCTTGCCTTGATAATTGCTGTGCTGTAACTTTGTACAACAGCAGTGGTTTGTTTCCAAACCAGCAGCTCTTTATCTGATGCATGATGTAGACCCTAACACAATTACATAAACAATACACAGGCACATACAGTTTGCAATACAATATCTAGAAAGACCTAGCACATAAAAATTGGTTAGACCATTAGCTTTGAAACAAAGTATTATTTTTTTTCTCTGCAGAATGAAATACAAAATCCCGAAGATACACAGATGAACGATGTCCTGGCTGCACAAGAAATGGATCAAGTCACGTCTACAATGAAACTTGCTGAAATGAAAAATGTTATTATAAAACATATGTATTTTACTGTGGTAAGTAACAGTTAATACTTTGTTAGCATGATATATTTTATATACATACAATTTTATATTTTTATGTTGCATGAATTATATTAAAAACCTCTCTCTTTCATTATAGTATTGAGGTACTAAAGTAGATACTTGACATACCTTTAGGCCTTTTAACCTGCAATATTTAGTAATCCCGTATTTACTACATGTACCATTAGTTAAAATAAAAATTAGTGATCGCAATTCATTGGCATGGGTATGTAGAAGACACGGTCTACTGCTTGAAGCCTTGATGTAATAGATGAGGTAAATAGTAGCAAACATTGTTCAACAAGATATCTTTGAATTAAAGTCTTTCTGTGATTTTCCTGTTATCTAGCTAACTTATGCTAAAACATTTTTCAAAACAATCATTGTAGAGCCAGTGTTTTGTTGACTCACATTAATGTTTTTTATTACAAGTCAAAAGTAGAAAGGTAAGTAGGTAGAGCTAATGCACGCCTTTGGTTTTCTCTTGTCACAGATCTAATCCTGATAAAATTGCTACCTTAGTAGTTAACAGCACTATTTCAAGTCAAGAGAAAGCAGCTGAACCTTGAGTTAGGATATATTATCTCTGTAAGTTACAGTGATACAGATGATGGCGTCTAAGTATCTTGGTAGGAACGTGTTTACATGAAGCACTGTAAGTTCTTAGTAGTGGAAGAATTAAAAATTTTAAGTCCTCAAGGTACACACAGTGTTTAAACACAAGATTACAAACAGAAGACTCATGCTGGTTAAATCTGTGCACCATCAAATGCTACATATTTTATCAGTGACATTTTATCAAGGCTATACTCCCCAGACATTTCAAAAATACATTTGTTCTTAACTTTTCATGTATTTTACATACAGCAAATGCTCTGGTTCAGACTATTATGTAGCAGAGGAATTAACCCTTCAAAGACAGTGTCTCCTAAGGATATTTTAGTAACATGTTTTAGTAGCATTGTCATACTACACAATAACTGAATATGGCTATAACAGTAATACATTTTCACACCTATGACCATATTTTTGCATACAAGAGGAATCCAAAGTTGGCATTTTGCCACAGAAAACCTGAAAACTTTTTGTTATTTAATCTAGGCATACTGTCCTTACAGAGCAGCCACATAACAACAAACAGACAATAGCAGGGGAAAATGGGAAGGAAAATTTGGCTAGATTTCATTTTTTTAAGTCATTAGTCCCCTATTTCATAATTTAACCATCTAAATAGGTAAATCTAAATGCTAGGTTATGCTTGAACTACCTTTAACAGAAGTTGTAATTTGGAAAGTTTCATGCACTATTTATTGAATATGTTGACTGGTATCAGATGTGCAGGGTGACTTTATCCTGTTTTACAGACCATTAAGCACAGGCTTATGCAAACAGACCAGCTGAACAAATGCAATCCAGAGGTAAGAATTATTTTAAAAGAGGGCGGTTATGCATATGGAACTTCATTATTAAGTTGGACAAACATACTTTAATTGCAAAATTAGCTATCAAAAAACATTTTTAGATTTTGGCTATCCAAAACTCTGATCAAGCTATTATTGCATTAACAAGCATCATTTGGTCTTGAAGGTTGTTTGTCCCTGTGATACTTTCAGTATTGTCCCTCATTACAAAGAAAATGCTTAATCCTGCTAGCTAAGAGAACCTTACCTGTTAATGTCACTTTGACTTAACTCCTTTGTTTGTACTACTCAATTTCTCTTTATTTCCAGTAGGCCAAATAAATGCCATAAAACAGGTCAGCAATAGATTTCATTAAGTCTTTGTTATAAATACCTGAAGTAAATAAATACTTTAAAAATTTTGCCTTGTCTAGCTATAATACTAAGAATAAATCTATAAACTGTGTTGAAACATTGCCTCTTTAGTACTCAAAAAGCATTTTATACAGTGGCCATGAACTACTAGTAGCACATTTTATACAGTAACTTGCGTTGCTTAAAAGTTAAAAAGGGAAACACTTAAAGTATTACGTTCCTAGTTACTTGAAATCAGGTTTTTTTCTGATTTCTTTCTATTGACAATAAGGAAAGAAGAAGAAAAAATTTATTTTTAAAATATGAGGAATAAAATACTTTTGTCATGGTCCAACACCATCACTAATCTGTAAAATGCTATGTGTGTTTCTGTTCCTGAAGAGGTTTGCATTGAAATTCAATCTTAGTGTGTATTTTATTGAATTAATGGGATAAAAAAATCACCTTTCTTAAAACATGTAAGCTGAAATTGTTTTTCTGTCCTCTTAAGAATAATATCATCTTTTCCTTGGAAATTTTAAGCTTAATTGTAATACTTTTCTTACTGTTCTATCACTTCTATTGCTTTATGGAATACACATTGCTAGCCTTTATATAATATTTGTCTTCTATAGTAAGTGTATTTATGACTTTTATAAACAGGTCCAGTAAACATTTCTAATAATACTGATGAAGTAAAATCAAACCTACTAACTAAATTAACATATTAGATCTGCCTACTGTATTTTGTCATTTCAGTTTGCATCTGCTAGGAAGACTTAGGAGAGCTAGGTGTTCTGTTCCATCATCATCCCAAAAATATTTATTTCTCTTTTGTCAGCTTTTCTTCTACATCATGCAATGTAAAAGGTGTATTGTGTGGACCTTCATATTTCATTTGTTTCTGCTCAAAGTGCTAATGATTGTATCACCAGCGCTTCACAAGAAACTGCTGATTCCTCATCAGTCAGAGTGCAAGCCAGTGAAGTTTGGACAATTTATTGAGTATTAAGTCTCTTCATTAATAGGTGTCTCCTGATACTGACAAAAGTTTATTGCCTCAGTTTTGTATCATCCTTCTTTACCTCTTAGAAATGTGCTGAAAACCAGTCTCTAGTTTCTCTTTGACTTGAACACTATGCAAGAGGTACCACAGTCTTCCCAAAACATCTTTATTTTAGTGTGTTTTCAAAATAATGCATCAATGTTACTGTTTCTTCTAGTAGAGAATTTTCAAAAAAATAAAAATTTCAGTCACAATATATAAAGCTGGATCCTGGTGTGATCAACAGGTGAATGTCAGTAGTAACATGCTTCTACACACGCAATATACAGTCTTACATCTTAAATCCAGGTGGCAGAGAAGTTCTTCTTTGACTGTCATTAAACAGTTTATGATTGCTCTTTAGATGTGCTGTTTGTATGTAATTAACATTACAAAAGTATGAACACAACCATTATTTCCAAAGGAAATTTTAGTGGAGATTTTAATAGTTCATATATGAATGAGAAGATTTAAATAAATGTGAGTTGCAAATACCAGATGCACAAAGACCTGATTAAAAGAAAATTGTCTATATGAGCAGCTTTATTTATTGTTGATGTAACAATGGCTTACATTAGGAATCTGAGATATGAGACATTTGCAGAGACACCAAATGTCTAATGCTAAGGTGGAGTTCACTGAAATTTTAGCTATGATTTAATCATGATTTTAATTTCTTTCTGATTTTTTTTCATGTTTAAACAGAGCTCCTAATGTTTTTTTATCTTATTACTGGAACATTTTTGGAAGGTATCTAATAGCAGTATGTTCTTTAGATTTCAAGTCCTCAACCAGACTCAAAATCTCTGTCAATTTAAAATATAAACTAATATTAATTAATAAGATCTTTAGACTGGATAATAGGAAAATTTCTCTCTGCAAAGTGTTGTCTAGCTCTGGAAAAGGCTTCCCAGGCCAGTAATGGAGTCATCATCCCTGGAGAGATTTAGAAGATGGTTACAAGAGTCACTTAAGGACATGATTTAGTGGTGGGCTTGGTAGTGCTGTTAATGGTTGGACTCAATGCTCTTTTATAACAATTTTATCTGAACTATTCCATTAATGCGCACTACAAGACAGGAGTTTGGGCAGAGATCATAAAGTCTAGAATTTTTCGAGATACACCAACAATAAATTTATGTAACTGTTTAATTCCCAGCAGTCCAATCAGTCTGACCCTGCTTCTCTCAGCTGTGCCTTCTTATCCCAGAATTACAAGAAATTTGAATTTACCAGAACCTCAGGCTGTGTGCTCAAACAAAAAAGCTGTATTTCAGAAGAGTAGTTACCTTGCAGAAGAAAGCCATGCTTCAGTTAGCAATAGAGTTGCAACTGGCTTGTGCATGGGCTTTGGCTTGAATCTGAACTAGAGGAAAGATGTAAATAGCAATGTACCTGAGACCTTCACTAGCTCATTAGTGTCATTAATTTGTGATCTTTGGAAAGCTGAAAGTACAGACAGTAACAGAGAAATTGCAGAGCAGATAACAGCATCTCATGGAATCTACTGCATCTGACTGGGTTCTCTGAAAGCCATAAAGTTAAGAGTTTTGCTGTCATGAGTGACAGAGAATAAGACAGAAGTCCTGGGCCATTAAGATCTTCTTAACTGGACAGATGCCTCCTGCTTGGAAATAACAGTCCCTTTCCCCGTGCCCTGGCAGGGATATAAGGTGGTATGGAATAACCTCTATGTCTTAGAGACATCCCCTGTGGCTACTGCAAAAAAAAATTCTATCCTGTCAGGAACCAGGATATGTAATGCCAACAGTTTAGTTAGGGATTACCTGTCTTAGTTAACTTGTTTGATTAAAGGGTTTTTTAATTTAAGCTGTTATATTTTTTTTTGCAATGATATCTCATTTCTAGGTTAAAAGTACTAACTGGTCCAGAGGTACTTGGTTTATACTTCAAGGATTAGTGGAAGAGGACTTACTCCATGATGTAGTCACAGAACTTGCTGCAGGCCATATGTACAGTGCACCTCCTGTGCAACTTCTTCATCCTCTTCTAGAACATGTCCTATTGGTGAGAGACGAAGATTGAAGTATTATTAAAAATAAAAGTAATAAATGGAAGTATTATAATCTTTGTTTCTGACATAGTATTTAGTAGTTTTTAGTGATCCATTCACCTTTCTTTATGTGCTGATCAATGTGCTTGTAAAAATAAGAAAGTATTTTAGAAAGGGTTTTTTCAAATTAGTATTTATTTGCAAGCCAAATGAATGTGATGCTCTAAATATTGTGGAAGGCTTGGCCATAAATATTTTTTGTTACTTTTAGAAATAGCACTATGCTAGTATGCTACAGATAGAGAGATCAGTTGAGAACAAGGTTTGCTCTAAACAATGGTGCATTCAACTGGCATATCACAGTAGAAGAAGTTCTCCTCTTTCTCTTCCCTTTTTTTTTTTAATTTAACGTATTTTTCTCCTTGGAGTTGTGCATTAAATTGCATGCTACTTCAGTGATTAAATTTGGTCACTTGAGATTGTAAAGATTAAAGTAAATAAGTAAACTCTTAGTGATAATAAATATAGATCTTTGGCTGGTCTGGAGCCAATATTATTTTCTCATTTTTTTACAGGGAAACACCGATACATTTTTTTTTGCCAAACTTTGTCATGTTTTTTACCTTGTTCTTCATTGTGAACCTCCCTGGAAATCCCCATTGATGTTGAAGTATTACTTGGATTTTCTTCAGTGTCCTATCTGTAAGAAAGGCACATGGTCCTTTATAGAGATGCTTGTAAGGTAAGAAGGATTAATGAGGTACCGAATGCAATAGTTATGTTACTCTAAACTCAGGGACAGCAGAGGAGATTTGGCATTCTATTGCACCAAAGTGCTGTTTTCAACAAGTTACCAGTATGTGAAAGTCCAGAACTGTAACAGATTTGGACATTTCAGTTTATGTTTCAAAAAGTGTTAGCTCACAGGCAGATGAAATTTTTTGAAAGAAAAATAAATACATTTTCTTAGCCTTATTCATTTTTTAAAAATTATTTTATTTCTTAAGCTCTTTACAGAGTTCAGTAATCTGTGTACAGTTGCTGTTGTTGTGTGTATACATATAAACACACATATACACACATATGCATATATCTGCAGTTACAAAGAAAATTCAAAGGCTTATCTGACCAAACATGAAGTTTCATGTTGTATTTCGATTTTAAACATAACCTTTGCCATCTTTTTGAAGAAGTCTGATTATATCTACATCTACAAAGACAAGACAGTATTTAGGATCTCTTTGGATAATTAGACTCTGCTTCACCTTGAGAGTTTATTTTTTTGTAATTTACATCAACAGAAATTAATTCTTCATTTGGAAAAGAAACTACACCTCTTCTTGTGGCTGTGAAAAAAACTCAAGTAATATTTAAACACTTTGAAACAACTATGATTACAGATGTTTGAATGTGTGTGATTGTAAGCATGTCTTGAAGAATAGGAAGCAGAATTTATCTTTTAGATGTAGTATTTTTTCTTTTAGTACTTCCTGCAGAATGGGAATACCCAGAAGTTGTATACCTGGTTCTAATACTCAAAATTTTAGACAAAAAGTATGTTTGCATGTTACTTCAGAATTATCTACATCATGTTTAACAATTTGTAGTCCTGTCAAGTAGTATGTATGAACTGTTATCTAAACAGAGTTTGTAGGATGTTACCATGTCTATAAAACAGTACAAAATTAGCTTGTATTTAAAGAATTTTAAAGTTCTGTTTAATATAGTAATTGTACAATATCTCAAGAAGAGACAGGAAAAATGAAATCTAGTTAAATTATTTAGTTTACAATATAATACAAAATCTTCATCCGGAACACAAAAGCTCAGTCACAAACATGTTGAGGTTTTTTTTTTTTGTTCTTTTGAAAAAAGCTTTAAAACTGGAAAATTAGGTTTTAAAATGTTGACTGTGGCTGGGGAACAAACTATTTCTATGTCAAAACACACCAGATTCAAAGCTGACTTTTTTCCAATAGATTATCTCTTATTTCTGTCATACAAATGGAATTTTTCATTTTTTATTTTTCAGGTCTTGCCTTTATTGTGAAACAGTTTGTCATGCGGTCACAGTTTCAGAGACAGAAGATGAACTGAGGATAGTTCATAAAACATTATTGAAGTTTTTCTTTGATTTAGTTAAAGGCGAAGTAGAGTTTCTGACAAAAAGGTGGGATTTAAGGAATAGTACATGCGTTTCTTTATTTGCAGCAGCTTGTATCCTAATTTGTGTATATCTCTGATAAGATACTGCTCTGAAAGCAGTTTAGCAATTCCATTTATATTTCTCAATTCTTAGTTTGTTTATTGTAAATTGATAGGTTTTTTCATAATGTTTTAAGACACCTTGCCTTTTCCAGCTTGTTATTCCAGTAAGCATTTAATTTTGCTCATAAAGTGGTACTTTTAGATTTACAGTACTTCGCTATTCATTCTTTAAGGTAGACAAGCAGCATTTTAAATATACTTATGCATATGTTTGATTTTTTAAAAATTCAAATAACTTTTACCTTAGGGAGACAATTACCTTTCCTTGGTTTATGAAGTCTAAAGGAAGTCTAGGTTTTGCTTTGCCTTTATATAGAAATGGTGACCTTTACTTTATGTAAGTAGTGGCATAGTATTAGAATTCCACAGGTCTAACAGTAATAGTCATCATCATTGTACTTACTCTTCATCAGAAATTGTGTCTGATCTTTCCATAGGTAAAAATCGCCAAATCTGTGTGTATTTTGAATGAAGACAAGGTTTCTGTCTGGTAACTATAATAATCAAAGTGGCATAAAGCCTTAGATTTTTTCACCTTTTTTTTTTTACAGTTTGGTTGAAGGAACAAATTCACAGCATCAACAAGTCTTGCCTCAGACGGTTCTTCTGAAGACATTCTTGCTTGAAAGTGAAACCGCAGTGCTTTTTACCAAACACATAAATATTCTAGCAGATTGGGTCATATTTTCCCATAGAGAATTAAATGGAAAAAATGATGTGAGTGTGAATTTTATACTTTAAAATAATGAAGACTGACATATTTTTTTAAAGGCCTTTTGTTCATTCTTTTGTGAGGAATTATATGCACGTATAACAGCTGCTTGTTATAGCTGCCTTTTGTTGTGAAGCGTGCTGGTTTTTGCTCCACTAAAGAAATGAATTGATCCATAAGATTCTTATATAGATATGTAGAGAAGAAACGAGTCATGAGTAGCTTGTTGGCTACATTCAGATGTTCACATGCCCTTCCCAGCAGGTATTACTGTAGTTATTACAGACACCAGCTTGTTCTCTCAAACAATATGGTGTAGTGAAAGAAGTGATTATCTTATTTTACAGGGATAGGATTCAGAAAACATTTCAAAGAGAAATCTAACAAAACTAACACTTTTTTTGTTGTTTGCTAGATATGCAGTGTTTTACTGTAATAAAATGCCCTGGTTTTCGTCCTAAGCCTTTTAGTTTCATTTTGAATATTTCCTAGGATTTAGCATAAAAATGTAATTGAAGGCAACTTAATTGCTATTCTGTGACCTGCTGACCAGCAGGACATTGACCTGAAAGATACTAACTGTCCTCTATACCACCTATTTCTTTTCAGAAGCAAGAGGCCTTGTAAAACATCTTTGACTTCTAGATTCTCACATAAAATAAAACCTAACTGCTGCCTCTGCATTCTCTTTTAAATTATTGTGAGAGCACAGAATAAATAGGTACTCCATTCACTTTTTCCGTACAGTAACAGAACAATAGAAAATCAAGTATTTCAGGGAGATAAAAGCACTTTCAATAACCAAGTAGTTATTCATTATGCTATGAAAGCAAAAAGATTAAACATAATGAGAGCTTCAATCATCTTACCTAGCCAGACCTCCTACCTTTTTTGAGGGCTATCAAAGCAAGACATTGTAAAACAGTGCTGCTTTTTATCCTCGGTCAAGATACTTAAAAAGTGCCTAAAATTAGGCTTCTATACCCATATTTATATTCAAGCAACCTATCTTTTCAAAGGAATTGAGCAGCAAGCAAGCTTACTTGCAGTTAGTGTCAGTAGCCATTCCGTTTCTTTGGAAAATGACATTGCTTTCATATTTTTCCTGGTGTTGAATCTGCAGTTTAAGTGTAGGTACATTTAGTTTTTTCTGCTATGCCTTCCTTTGACAGTTTATAGCACTGTAAGCCATGCCTTTCTTATAAAACTTTCCTTGCACAGGCAGAATAATCACTTTTGGCAGACTGTACTACGTATATGAAAAATAAGCTTAATCCTCACACACAACATAAATCGCAGAGATCTGCCTCTTGTTTAGATTCTATTTGTTTTATATACATATATATCAGAATTGTCATTTCAGCACAAATCCTGGATGTCTGTTGTTTTCTCACTTTGATCTTATGCACCATAGTGTAAACTGTCCTACACAGATGAATTCTAGTCTTAAAAAGCAGCTTGTTGCCTCATAATATCTGTAGTGTATTATGTTTTTTCTAACAGCTTTGTTCCTCATATTTATTTATCTGTTTCACTTTCTTTCCCATTGCATATTTGGCAAAATTAAATTCTAAACCAAAATACCATATTTTTACAATCCAACTAATTCATCCCTTCATTCAGTCTCAATCTTGTTCTATTAAAGCATGGTATTTTTCTGTATTTTCAGACAAATTTTAAAATTCCATTACACAGTTAAAAATGTCATTCAGAAAATCAAAAGAGTGGAACCTCCCTAGCTGTGCAGACAGAACTGTGTTTTCTCCTTCCTTTTTCTATCATTTCAGAGATACATAAATAAATACACAGTATTTCTGTGTCATTAGAGGTAGCATACAGGGTGCAAAATTGTCCTTCCTGTTTTCAGTTTGAAGGTGTGAGTCAGTGTTACCAGTTTTGTTTTATAAAAGCTGTTTGCTTAACAGGTAACACCTTGTCAAGAAGCATGTAGGGCCATTCAGAAATGTAAATAAAAGAAATTATTTTGGTAATTGTTACTGTCTGCATGTGGTTGGTAGCACATTGCAAAGGGGTGGCTGACTGTATTTCTCAGTGCACCTAAGTGTGTTAGCTTGTGGGAAGAAGCAAACGTGCATGTTGTGGTATACCAAACTTCTGTACAGTTCTTCAGCAAAAATATCTATAAGTGGAAACAGATGAATAATTTAACTAAATTCTTTTTTTGAACTTATCTAATGTAATATTTTCTAACAGGTTAAAGTGAGCAGTTATTAATTGTTTTAGCTTTTTAGAATCAGATTATCTCTTTTTGTGATTCAAAGAGGTTGCAACAAAGAGTACTGGAGTGCAGGGAAAATATCTTGTGTGTGTTTCCTCTCTCCTAGTGCTGAGTTGCTGCAAAATTATCTTTTATGTATGTGAGTAAACACACCGTGTAAAAAGAGCAGTCCCAAAAAGAGTGAAAAACAAAGCACAAAGTCGAGTGTATTTGTTTTCTGGAGTTAGATAGAATTTTCTGTATTTTAGAAGTAGCAGAATAAATATAGTGACAGCAAATTGGATGTCCTCACTGATCACTGGGTTAACCTGTTTGGACAACATGGTGGAATAATATTGATACACTGTTCTTGGTTAAAAGACACTGCCAAAGAACATAAAAGATTTCCAATTATTTGAGCTCTTCAGATCAATTTTGAATATAATTCTAAAATAAATTAACATATATTGTTTGCTATATTATTTAAACAGGTTTGATGGGGGAACTCCTGGTCAAAGTTCCTTGAATCAAATTTCTTAATTCAGTTTTAGAATTTACCAGGGAGTGTGTATGTTGATTATAACACTTCTGGTTGCATTGAGCTATTGCATGGTGAAATACTGAATACTGAAAATACTGGTGGGGATTTTTTTAAAAAGCTGTCTTGCATAGGCTGACAAAGAGGTGACAAAGGCATTCATTCAGGATTTTAGTTGCATAGTATAAATTTGTTTGGTGTAGAACCAAATGTCTTTCTGGTCTGTCACTTGCAGTATTTTTGGAAGTATGTTTTAGGCATTTGTGGAATACTACATTTACAGCACATGAAAAAAACCCTCTTCTTTAGAGTTCTAAAATAACTCAGTAATTCAAAGTAAAAAAGTTAAAATTAATTTTCCTATAAGAACTTTTATGTGTACAAACATACTGTGAAACTTCTGCCACCGTAGCACTATATTTGACTTGACAAAGCATTAAATGGAACAGCAATGTAGGAATTGCATTTGCTAAGCTAACAGGCATCAGTTGAAGTAATGTGACCTTTGTATGCTAACACAGTCAATAGCTTCTTCCAACTTCTATGCTTTTCTTAGTGAGATAGCTTTGATTTTCAACAATAAGAACAAGGAAGAGAATTTTGAAAAGAGGTTTCACTGCATATTAGTTAATTAGCTGTACATGGTCAATCTCAGCTGGCAAGTAAATCCCCACCCTGCATTGAGTTGAGGGAGAGAATCAGAAGGACAAATTAAAAATGTATGATATTATATAAAGATAGTTTAATAAGTGAAACAAGCAAAGCAAAATAAAGATTCCATTCAGTGCTTCCCATCAGCAGGCAGATGTTCAGTGACTTCTTGGAAAGCAGAGCTTTGTAAGACTTGGCAGTTACTGGGCAAGGCAAACACCATCACTTCGAACATCCTCTCTTCCTCCTTTACCCAGCTTTGTGCTGAGCACAATGTTTAGAAGACCTTTGGTAATTCTGGGTCATCTCTCTTGGCTGATGTCCCTCCCAGCTTCTTGTTGTAGGAGCAGAGTGGGGAAAAAGAGGTCTTGGCACTGTCATGCATGGTAGCAAATTTCAAGTTTAAAGAAAAAGCTTGGTTTTTTTTTTTTTACTTTTTAATACTGCGTGTGTTTTCATTACTGTGCATTGTTTTGTGGTTGAAATTGGAAATACTTTTAACATGTTAACATTTAAACATTTTTAGAACATAGTCCTGTCAGGAAATTAGACCAATTTCCCTCTCCCTCATTTGTAGCATTGAACCATTTATTTAAAATATTGAGGAGAAGCTCTTGTTTTGTCCTACCATTCTTTTACAAAAATGCCAACCAAGCCTACACTAGTTGGCAGTATCTGGCTTGGCTTGTCAGCATGCAGAGATTCTTGGCTGGGCAAATGTAGATGCAGCTAGAGTACCAGCTACATTTAATAGTCACTATATATCTGACTGTGAAAAGTTATTAATACTTGCAGTATTAGCAGTCATTATTTCAGTCTGCTCCCTCAATGTCTGCTTTCACCCCCGCCCTTTTTCTTAAAAATATTTCATAAAGGAATTAAGGTAGTGATTTAGAAACTATAAAGATAATGTAAATACTTGTGCTTTACATCTCTGTCTACCTCAGATTACATCAGTATGCCCTTGGTCCTGTCACTTAACTTTTGTTCAAACTGTGCTTATTTGCTGTGTTTGTGAAATTTATTTCCAGTAAAGAACTATTGGTGGAATTATATTATTCACCCCGTATTTTGCTTTGGGGTCCAGTGATAAGAGGTATACATATTTAAGGGAAATTTAAATGCATTTCAGATATTTTTAATTGTTCTTCAGTTTCTGTTCCTGAATCCTCAGAAGATAGGGAGTGTAAATGTACCTTTTTAAATATTTAAACTTTAGTTTAAAAATTATACTTTCAGGTTTTTGACAGGCCATATCTGTGTTCTCAGGGTTTTTTTCATTATGAGATTTCACCATTCATATATAATAAAATATTACGACATAATAAAGTAAGGGACAAACCAAATCAAGTGGAGTTTAAGAAAGTAAGAAGAAGTAGGCCTGGAAGCAGTCTTGGAGATGACATTTGTAACAGATTTTGTCTGGCCAGTTATTAAAAATCTTGAGGGATGGAGGCTATGCTTCCACCCCACACCATGTTTATTTGTAGTTGTGGTTGTGTTTATTCCTTTTCTTTTGAGTGATGAGTAACTGTTAACTGTAGTGACAGTATTTGTGTAGTTTTCAACAAATTACTTTATGTTTCTGTTATCATCTATGTCACTGTCTCCATTGTTCATATGTACATCTGTTTGATTTATTGATGCTCAAACTGGTTTTGGTGCATTTCAGCTGCTAAGGAATCCTAGTAAATTATTTTAAACCAACCTTGAACATATTTTGTTCTCAAAGGAGTATCAGACAAATCATTGACTATAGCGTGTACCCATTGAGTCTGGTTTGTCTCTTAGCCAAAATTGTCCAGTTGCAAGTACTCATTATCTTTCACAAGATGCCATATATCAACTGGAGCTCTAGTGTAACAGTAGTAATTCTCTGGTAGAGCCTTAGGTCAGATGAATTTAATGTGTTCCTGCTGTGGTGCCTATGTTCTTCCAAGCTGTGCTTTCAAAACATCTGGTGGTACACGTGGTCAGAGGAGTAACTTATTTCAGAGTAATTGTATAAAATATTTCTACTATGGCTCAGAAAGGTATGTAGATAGATGTGACCTTGCAAAGACTAACACAAACATTAGAAACACTGATTTACCCGATCAGTATTGATTAAGTTTCATATGGGTGAATAAATGCATTCATCTACCTCATGGTGGTGTCTGGGTAGCTAAATTCCTGTGTATTGTCTTAATGCCTCTTGAAGAAAATACGCTTCAGTTTTTCTTTACTTGTTCATCTTGTTCATGACCATTTTCACAGGATCACTGAATAAGCTGACTTGGAAGGAGCCCATAAGAATATATATATATATAGCTATAGATATAGCTATTTTTGTGTGTGTGTTTGTATGTGTGTGTGTGTGCCTGTTCAAGGTAGAATATTGTAGGGCTAATATTCAGAAGTATGGCTTTTTTCCTAAAATTGCAGCTGCTCATCTTTAAAATTTTTTGTAACTGAAGAAAGTTTCCTTTTGCAAAGTGACTGCCAGAATTTCTTCTGTGGTGGAAACTTAACTTTCCATCCTTTTCCCTTTTGGCACAGACATACATAGTCACAAAAGGAGCTTTACTTCATGATTAAATCTTTAGAAAAAGGCAATGCTAATAGAGCAGGGAGAAAAAGATCCTTGCAATTGTCAAATTAAACATAAAGTTAATTAGAACAAGCACAGTACTTGCAATCTTATGGTTAAACAAAACCTAATTTAAAAAGAAATCACATTGCAATTGTAAGTTTTGACACCATTTTGCATATAGTTTTAGATTATGTTTTCATAGAACCTGTTTTTCTCCAGTGCCAAATCTTAATTGATATGGCATTGGTGACGCTAATTTTGTTAATCTGGCTGCAATAGTTTTAGTTTAGTTTAGTTAATATATTTAGTTTTCGAGCAAAAGAAGAAAGGCCAATGAAGGAGTGACATGGCAGCAAAGTGGGCTTTTATCCAAAGAAGTTCTCTATGTTATTTCTGTTACATTATCAGCGTGAATTTTTTATATATTACAGACCAATAGATACACCTATGCTTTTTTTCCATTTAGGCTTTCAGAAGTGAAGTTGCTGGTCTGTTAAATGCAATTCTTGGAACTGTAGTGGACTATTGGATCATCTCAGGTTTGCTCATGGACAGAAATGTGTTTCATCAAGTGCATGATTTGGCACATTACCTTACCATTTCATGTGACGGTGAGTGTTTGCAAGGCCTCTCAAAAGTCTTCTAATTGGATACACTAAGTCCTAATTAAAATCCTTGGTTTAGTGACTAATTGTTTTTTACCCTGTGTTGCAGCTGTGCACTGCATGGCATGTACATATGCAGGAAACCATCTTATTTTGTATGTGTCTGTCAGTGTCAAGCAAAGATCAAATAGAACAGGTTTTCTTATTAAAATCCCTCTAAATAAATGTCTAAATGTTGATGCGAAAGCAAGACCACACAGTCTGAGGAAGAAAAAAAAATCTTTGGAGCTCTCTTGTCAGTTTAGGAGAAGCTTTAAGCATATAATAAAATTTAAATTCAGACAAGCAATCAGAGGCATCTTACTTAACTCAGGCAAATTTTATCACTCCAAAAAATCAATAGATTGCTAAAGACACTTCAATCATAAGTCTGAAAGCTACACGGAACTGTGTGACTCCTACAACTTCAAATAAAACATTACAATGTTTCCTTCCAGATCTTTAGACATAATTTTCTCCCATTATGACTATCTTTAGTCATAATGGGAGAAAATTCCATTGAGTCCTATGAATTACTGTAGTTCCTCCTCATTAAACAGACTAGGTAAACAGAAACATCATGACTCAAATAACCATTATCATTTAATATGGAATGTCAGTTGAGGTATCTGTACTTTCATCAGCAAGGAGTTGAGGAGCTTGAAGACAAAATTATCTCAATAAAGTATTGAATTATTTTAATTTAATTTTCAAAATTAATTCCCACCAAAGCTTCCCCTGACTCCTTTTCCAATCATCATTTTCTGTGGTAACAGGTATATGTAGGTTTCATTTAAATTGTATCTGCCTTCTACCTGGACACTTGGGAAGAACCCTCATGAAAAGAAATTACACTAAAATCTTAATCTCTGGACAATTTATTCTACCCCAGTCTTACAGAAAGCAAATTATGAGAACTTTTATAGGCTGGCTTAGTCTTTAGAAGGCCAAATCATTATGAACTTTATGGTGTTTAAATAATGGAGCTTTTAATATGTACCACTTCAATGGATTTTTTTGGACATCATATAATAGGAACAATGTTGGATAAATATTTCTGTAAGACTTTATTACTTTCCTGTATACAAAAGGGAAAACATGAACAGGGTTTGGTCTGTTTATAGAGATTATTTGACCTGTACCACTTGGTACAACCTGCAGCACTCAAAGCAAAATTGTTGTGAGTTTTTCTGAATTAATTTATACTTACAGTAGCAAACATCTGTATTCTCAAACTTGGGTTTCTGTTTTGATTGAATGTACAGATAGTTAATTTATGAGCACTTCTTAGCAGAACAGAAGATTCCCTCAATACACTAAAGATTTCCTTCCTCATTGCAGGTCTGACTTTCCAATCATTTCAGTTGTTATTTTGACAAAATTATTTTCTCAGAATCAAAATCCAGATTCTTACTACTGTAAGAAAAAATCAGTCTTTCTGTTCTTCTTTTCTAAAACAGGTCAGACATAAATGCCTGATGTATATTGATAAATGTTGTATGGATCTGTAAATTTCTCTGCCAATGTGTGGGGCATTTTTTAAAACAGTATAAGCTCTTTGGTACATCTGAATGGGGTTGCAGTGTGTTTACGGTGACTTTTACTATGGAACTTGTAGGTCACCTGTGTTATTTGCAGATTTCTTGTTCATGTGTTATAACTCTTACCTGAATTTGTGTTTCTTTGAGATTTAAAAGGTGATCACTTGCAGAACTTAACAAAAAATAATTCTGTTCTCAAAATAAAGGCATAACTTTTATAACATTGTATGAAGAGCATTTTAAGAAGTTTCACACAAAAAGTGATATTTGGTCTTCTAAAATATGTTCTCTGTATGTCATCATCTTAGCACATGATTGTTAAAATCTATTTTAATGTGAAGAATTTTAGTAATTCTTATGGAAAATAAGCTTCTGAATTTGCAATAGGAGCAAAAAACCTGGAAGATCTGTCTTCTAGATAACTAGGTATGTAGATTTCTGTATTTTCATTTTTAGGCTTACTTGATTTTTTTCCAATTGCTTTTATCCAGATTTTTCTGCATGTCAATTAAAAATGTTTCTTTGTGCCATACCATCCGACTGGCTTCAGCTGTTTGTTGCAGAAGTAATTTTCAAACAAATGTGTTTACAGAGGAATATTGCTGTTTCTACAGAACCTCTTTCTCTTCAGAAAATAGTAAGTAAAACTTATTACACTTCAATATTTTACAAGTAATTTGATTCAGAAAAGTCTTGCAATATATCTTTTATTTGTGGTCTAAGGTCATGTTTATTGCCTGCATTGTCTTTCCATGTGTTCCATACATTTAAATTTCTCTTTGCCTGAAATCTGGGTGCAGAACAATAGTAAGATTTTTCTTGCCAGAGAATTTGTCACATCTGTTTACATGCAGTTATCATGAAAGTGAAAAAACGCAGCAACAGTGAGAGCTTTTAAAAATAATCCCTATAAAATTATTGCAGTGTTACATTTGTACTTAAGGAGAATGCCAAACATAGTGTGATTTTTCTCAGCTACCTTTTCCTTCAGGGTTTTTGAAGAGATAGGTCCAGGCATTTGTTACATAGAAGATTTTATGATTTTGAACTGCAGTGTATTACTGTGAATTTCTCCTCTTAGAAACTTTGTCCTACTCACTAACCTTTGCTTGCCTTCAAATCACAATTTGTGATAGTTGGTGAGGAAAAACATGGTAAAAGCTGCAAAAGAAATTCTCAAAGCCATGACTGCTGGCAGGATGCAGGCAAATCAGGGTGATTACATGGTAATGTCATGCCCTAGTCTAGATTCTTATTTCAGTAATCTTAATACTAATGACTAAACAGAATATGGAATCCATAGCTGTTTGTCTGTGTTCTACTATTCTACAGGTAGAGTCACAAAAAACCCAAATTTATACCTTTGTACATTTCCCATACGTAAGTTTTCATAAATTTTGCAGGAATCTATTGTGAAGAGAGGTCATTGTTTGTTAATACAGCACATCTAAACAGAGATTGAACAAAATACTGTCAGAATTCTTAATGGAAATCAACTGCATACTAATATTTGATGTATATTGCCACATATAGAGCAGAATTGCTACTTTCGGCATTGCCATGCCTACTGATCACTCTCTGCAACTACTTAAAAATTGTTTTAGTGCTTGAAACAAGTCTTATGTGCTTTTTGTTGTTTTCCTTAGTATGACTGAGTCTACTTTCTCATTCCATACAGTAAAAATTTTCCAGTTTTGCCAGTTCTTCTCATACAGCATCTTATTAACTCAGCTTTTCTCTAAGTTCAACAACTCCCTGGTGATCAATGTGCAGTGAAGGTGCAAGTAAGATGTTCCTCCCCTACTGCATATTGCCTGCACAATCTACAGTGAACTGCTAAATACACAAAGTCTTCCTTAATACCTTTCTTCAATATCATTGTTGTGTGTTAGAAGAATTCCCCTCACTAGCCTTTTTTCTTACACTTTTTGCAGAAACTTAGATGACTTTTTTAAATGAGCAGTGTAAGTGGATTTGAAGCTCTGTGTTACTGAAAGAGGCTAACATCTACAATAGCCAAGGCTGTCCTAATAGAGAGTACCTAAGGTATAACTGGCTTACTGCGTTAGCAATGCTCAAAGAATTAATCCAACCCCTTATCTCAGAAGAGATGAAGGAGTGGAGTGAGTTTGTCTTTAACCAAATTGCTCCTTGGTGTAGGAGTGGGAAGTCTGTAAATACTTTGTTTTAATGCATGGAAGTAATTTGTCTGTACTCAATCTTATGTCCAGCTGAAGAGATACAGATTTTCTCAGCTGCCAGAAACCTGAGAGAGGCTTAGAGTTTCCCATTCTGTGTCTCAGACACAAGCCACTCACTGAGGCCAATGTAAAGGGTGAATTACAAAAGCATCAAAAAGGAATGCAAAAGACAAACTAGTTGTACAGTCATTCATGGATCAGATATTTAAAAAATCAAGAGTATAGATGGATACATGTGGATATAGATGATTGCTTTGCAGCAAGTGTAGCAAAAGAAAATTTCCTTATTTATAAAATGTTCCTTTTGCAACAGGTCTGTTCCTATTCACGTGCTTTGCGAGCGATAGGGATGCGTGAGACAGAGATACACAAAGCAAAGAAAATGAAAATAGGGCAACAGCCATGCCCTGAGTCTCAAAGGACATTACAGATGCTAAATGGCGATAAGCAGAACCAAGTCAAAGTGCTGCCTGATCTACCGTGAGTAATACCTATAACATCACCAGTTTTATTCTGCTTTGGGGGACAGCTTCTGACCTGACACATTTCTTGAACTTTATGTGACCTGTTTTGTTGTCTACAAATTACTTCAACTGACAGAAAGCTCCATTGTAAGCCTGTAACACCTCTGGGCTGGGGTTTCCCCTTTTCTCTTTGATCATCAATTTCAGTGTATATGCACACTGATGTAGTTTTTTTTGTCTAATATTAAATTTATAGGGTATATACAGAAGTTCACTGTTCATAGAATTACCTTTAAGGAAAGTTAAAAAGTGGGCAGTCCTATTTGAGTTCTGTTTTAAATACAGTTATAATTAAATGTCATAAAAATTATGTAATTAAGACATTTCAGAAATGATGCTGAAATGGATAAATCTAAGTATTTAAATGGCTTTAACATTTAAAACCATTAAGTACATATACATTAAATATGAAATAGTGATTTTAAATGTGTCCCCTTTGCTTTCTTTTCAGTGACTTAATCTTTAATAAGCTTACAGGAAAAACAGAAGTCCAGACTGCACACACCAAAGGGAGTTATCTTTTGGCTGAAGAGGTACACAAGAGAAATATTAAAGGTATTCTACATACCTTATTCATGTTAAAAAGTATAAAGTGATTAGAATTTATAGTTTCATGTTTAAAATCTTGTCCTGATGAATGCTGGACTAAAACGATGGCTTATACCCAATAATTATTGTCTTATGGTCCATGTTTCTCTTTTCTAATGTCAATTTAAAAGGAGGAGTTTGTATATATGGTAAAATAAAGTTGCCTTCTTCATTACTCTCCTCCTTCCATACATTAAATGCACTGTACAGTTTGTGTGAGCTCATTCCAGTCTTGACTGCCTTACTTTGCTAATCCACCTCAACCTGTGCTTGGTAGGATCAACGTGTTCTGATTTGCAAGTATAATTCAGTCTTCATCTCTCTGAGTCCTAGACATTTTGTGAACAAAGACTGAGTAGTATGCTATGTTACATTGCTGTTTTAAGCATATGGACTGTTTTCTTCCAGGCATTCAGCCCAGACTATGAGATGCACTTGGCTTTTGTTTTAACTATACTGGAACTCATGTATCTAAGGAATAAAACAGCACTGCAGTAATTCATTCAGTTCCTATTTGCTATACAAGTTTAATAATTGTACTTTGCATGAGGCTTGCTTTACTACAGAATTACTTACTGGAACTACTTTTTCATCTTTATGATCAGAAATTTACCTGAAACTCTATTAATATGGCACCCAAGAGAAGGCTCAGAAAAAAATGGCAAAAGCAAGCTGGAATTGTTTAAAAAAATTAAAAAATAATTATTATCACAAACAAAAGAAGACATCACCTCCTTTAAAGGTTTAAAAAAGCTTCAGCAACAGAGTCAGACCATACATTTTTAAAATTGGTTCCCTTTGTTTTTATTGCTTTTGCAAGTAAAGTTGATGTGAATTATTACATCTGATCTCTACAAAGAAAAGTGATCTGAAGGACTTGAGAGGGGAGGGGGAGGGAAGTGGAACCAAGCAAACAAATCCTGCTTTTCTTTTCTATTCTCCCCTGCTAAAATTATAAGTAGTATCTGCTGTTGAAAGAATGGGCATGGAGCTGACAGATTTACATAGTGTAGGTATTAATATAACAAATGTTCCTTGTAAATCTTACTATAAAAGCTAAGAGATCTAGCCTAAGATATCTTGAATTTCTAAGATGTTTGGTTCATCATCTTTCACCTGGTATCAGGATTTCCCTCTGGCTCTTGTTCAAAGCTAATCAATTATTGAAAAGAAAACAGCATTTAGAATGTGTCTGAAGTTTTTATTCCGCAGAAGGTAGTGGTGTCTGTACATATATAAGCAGCAGCTTTCACTTGTTTTCATACTTCCCAACATTGTTTGCTGTTTAATTTTTCACACTTATTTCATCTGTACATGGTACTAAGGTTTGGAATTTTATTTTCCCCAGGGTCTACTACTACTAATATTTATTATTATTATTATTATTATTATTATTATTATTATTATTATTATTATTATTATTATTATTATTATTATTTTTCCTCTTTCTCCCCTCCTTCTCTGCTGTAGCCAAGTCAGAGAGCCTACTGAGAAACAGCAAACCATTTGCTAATAGATTTGAAGTTTTGATTTATACTTGAGTATGTAGAGGCATTTCTGCTTAGCCAGAAACATTCATTTGAATTAAGCTATAAATGCTGTGTAAAAAGAACCATACATCTTAATGTAGGTTCATGAATAAATTTAAGGGAGGGCAACTGCACTCTAAAGTTGTATTGCTTCAAAACCCACTATTTTTTGGTGTTTTGTGATCACTTTGTGCTTTTATAGTGTGATTGAAGCTTTAAACCTTGAACTAGAGGGGAGATAATTCCTGTGTTAAACCATTTGCAGTACAATTTCATTGCTGGATCTCTGGTGGAACAGAAGCTCCGTGGGGTTTTTTTTTCTTTTAAGATGTTTAAACAGGATAAAGGAAAATCCTACTCATTATTGAGTTTTCTGCTACATAACCAGGTCTCCTAGTTCCAGACCCTTTGATTATTTTCTTTAGTTGCTATCTTGTCTAGTCTAGTGTAATCTATTAATTTTTCATGGTAGGAGAGACAGCCCTGCATAAAGCTTGCAGAAATAACAAAGTGGAGAGATTGATTCAGCTTCTCTCTTTGCCAGGAACAGACATTAATGTTAAAGGTAAGTTATTCATTTTCTCTACAGAACTAAGAAATTAAGACACATAAAGAACTATATTAATATCTGTTTGTTAACAAGTTTGTATTTATACAATCTAAAACTCTTTCTTTTTTAAATAACACAAAATGAGGACTTTTCAGCAAACATTAAGGTAAGATAAATTTATAACTGAAGCGTATTTTAACATCACATTTTCTATTGATTTTAAAAATGCCATTTTTTTCAGATGTTTTTCAATAGAATTTCTTGTTTTGAAATCACAACCTGCCATTCCAGCTGTAATGAGTACTAAAAAAGTAAAGTGTTTTCCTGTCTAATGAATGACATTATTAACATTTCAGTACTACTTTTGCTGTTTTAAAACTTCCCTTGATTTATAATTCAGATTATGCTGGCTGGACGCCTTTGCATGAAGCCTGTAACCATGGTAGCACAGCGTGTGTCCGTGAAATTCTGGAGCGTTGTCCGGAGGTAGACCTGCTCAGTCAAGTGGATGGGGTGACTCCTTTGCATGATGCACTGTCAAATGGACATGTAGAAATTGGCAAGCTGCTACTTCAGCATGGGGGTGAGTACGCTTATGCTAAACCAGTTTAGGGAAATTATCCACTGTTCTGAATCCATATGAAGTTCTCATTGTTTGTCTTGATAGTTTCCTAAAATAAAGTTACTGTGAAATATTTTAGAACGCTTTTAAGCCAAGCTGGTTTGTTTACAATAAAAATGATACTGTTTTCACACTTACTTTGATCAGCTGACTGTTAAATTAACCAAGATTTCCACAGGTTTTTCCAATATGGTAATGTTTTTATCCTGTATTTTACACCATATGCATTGCAACTATATTCTCCACTAATGAAAATAAAGATTACCTAATCACCAATCAGGGCTAAGTATTTTCTGTTGTTTTGATCTATTTCTACCACAACACAAAACCAGATCAGTTAAATCTCTGCATATCACGTATTTCAACATAATTTTTTTCAGCATTTGTGAAAATTGATGTGATGGTTTCTGAAGAACACAATTAGTTTAGTAATTAGTTTAAGAAAGTAATTGATATTGTAATCATGATAACTGCTGTTTAGGGATAATAGTGGGAGGTATACCTTATTTTCTATAAAAAGTACTTTGCCCCTTAGGCAAGCACACAATGTTTTAAACAATACTTTTTGTTCAGAGACAGGGCATTTGTATCTTGAGGTATGTACCATACCAATGTATTTAATTTAGCATGTTAAAAACAAACCCCCAAATACCCGCAAAGAATCATCTTGGATAATAACTCTTCCTCCTTTTAATTAATTTATTAGAATGAGTGTTTGCAATACCTGTACCATTGCCCTACTGTGTCAGTTTAAACTGTGCTTTATATGCCAAACCCGAATTTTTTCAGTAAAAATCATTCTGTGCTTAGTCATGAGGCAGAAGAGTGTATTTAGGCAGCCTATTAATTAAGGTAGAGAAACTAAATTTTAATAGATTCTTGGCATATGACCCTCTGTATTTACAGTCTTCTCCTGCCCCCTAAAGGCTGTGTCTGTGTCTGTCGTGCAAGCACCAGATCATAATCAATACATTGCTTCTGCAGTTCTACCTCCATTTTCTGAATCTCAGCTCTGTAGCTCCCAGGTGTTTTATATCTCTACTGTGCCATGTCACCTTGGCATCTAACATGCCAAGCCAATGCCTGGGCTCAGTTCTATCACCTGAAGTGATGCAATAGCCAATATTATAGTAAGCCCAGCTCCCGAGCTGGAAATGCACTAACAGATGTGTATTTTTCCTCGGCTGCTGTGAAGAATAGGTAGTGGATGATCTTGTTATCACAGGGGAAAAGCTCTACTTGCACTTGCATTCATCAAGTTCTTCTGGCAAGTGTAAGGCTATGTGTACCTTTATCTTTGCCTTTATTACACTCTTGAGTTATGGCCTGTCAAGTAACTGACAGGCCCATGGTAGAAAGCATGTTACCTATTCAGTGTGAATTTACTTAGTTCAATAATTTAGATCACAGAAATTAATGATACTAAATAATCAGTAATAATAATACAGTTTTAATCTGAGAAAAATTAAAATATGTATTATTGGTATGAAATGTGGGAGTTCAGCTTTTGTCATCAAAATATATTTCTGAAGAAGCATGCATGTTAATATGGTATCATTACTTTAGCATACTAATACAAACTTATGTAAGATTCCTAATGTCTTCATATTTGAAAAACACTTGTAGTGTCTTAAAAGCCTTCATTTTTTCTCACTGTTGCAGCCTTTCTTAAACTTCCCAAGAGATGTGTAAGCTCTTTCAATATTAATAGTCCCTTGTACTAATAAACCAGAAATACCAAAAGGATTTATTTGTTCAGGCTAGTTCTAAACAAACAAACATGTCTCATTTACTTACTTTAAATCTATTTATTAGAGTAATTATGTTTTGTGTTCCAGAAATCTGTTAAGATCAAATTTTTAAACTCAGTTGTTGGTGAAGGCTTGGATACCTACCCCAACAGTTTACCTTGCTGCACATAAGGCAAGATTGGCCACACCATTAAGAAAAGCAAAATAAAGACCATCATAGTAACAAGCCATTAATTTGAATTCAGTGTCTGCAAATAACCTAGTCTACAAAGTACTTAATAGAATTTTACAAAAGTAGATACTTTACAAAAGTGATAACATTACATTTTTCCATACTCTATGCAAGACAATATTGTAAAAAAAATTGTTACAAAGGATCTCTCTACAGGTTCTATCTTGCATTGCAAATGTGTAAGTCATCAGTTACATTAACATAACTTGGTAGAGAAAAGGAATGCTGGCTTCTGGCAGTAAGCGACTCAAAATTCTTGTTTAGCTGCCACTTCATCACAAAATGTGCTGTTGTTACTAATATTTGTGTTTTTCCTGAAGGGCCAGTCCTTCTAGAGCAAAGGAACTCCCATGAGAAACTGCCACTGGATTGTGTTGAGTCAGTCACAGCAAAGGAAGAACTTTTCAATCTTGTTTATCCAGGAGAGAGCATTGAAATCTTCTATGAATGCAGAGAACAAGATTTTTGCGATCAGAAGAAAGAACTGTGTTTGATTTCATTTACTAAGATGCTGCTTAATTTTTGTTCCATTTATAATTTGTCAACACCCATGACTGTAACTCTGAGAGTGATACCTTGTTCAAATGTACTTCCGGTAATGGCTTGTGATAGCTCTAAGATGAAAAATGCATTTTCTGGAGATTGGTTGGTAGATACATATCTTAAAGCGCTAGAAACTTTTGAAAAACTACCACAGTTTCTTCAAGAAATATCTGAAAGCATGTTATTCTTCCCTGGTGAACAGGCGAAGGCGTTATTAGCAGCTCTGGAAACTATGGTAGAAGCATGTCAGTGCCTAAATCTTTCTAGCAGTTAAATTCCAAACAACCACATTGGCTGAATCTTGAGTGTTACTACCTTCTACTTGCCTGCATGTGTGTAATCTTAGAAAAGTGCTGTATCATTTATACTCAGTTAAACTGTCTTGGAAGTTGTTTTGTTTTTTTTTTAACATGCCTTGTGCCATATTTCTCTTCGGTTTTCAGAGGCAGTGACCCTAAACTTAAACCAAGCAATTGGTTGTTTAATTTCCTGAGAAAGGCTTATGTCAACATATTTTGATATCCCTTAATAAAACTAATGTTATAAATATGTAATGAAATATAAACATATGGAAAAGCAAATTCCTTCTATCCATTTTCTTCTTATTTAATAAAAAATAATTAAAATGAAAATTTATGTAAGTAAATTCTTATGTAAATTAATTGCATGTTACAAAATTCAAAAAGGAAGGCACTATATATTTATAGAATGAATATATAACATTTCCCATGTCTTTGTTTGATAGAAGTGGTCACCCAAAGATGTGGAAAATGTTATTCCTCATCAGCACTATGTTGCTTGTAGTCTCATTTATTTGTGCAGTGACCAAGCGAAGGAGACTGGCTCAGACACTTGGTGATCTGCAAGACTCCAGTGCATACAACTTGCTGCTTCCCCAGTCAGTGATGCTTTGAAGAACTAAATTCACCCTCAGCAAAACTTAAGGCTGTCCTTGGCTCTGCTCCAACTCATTGGCTTGCAGTGATTTGATAAAACCATTACTCTGGCCTGTAATGATCTGGTAACACTCCTGGGACAACCTCAAAGGAAGATGCAGGTAGAAGCAGTGGCCCAGAGCTAGTTATGCTGGCAGAGGTATTTACAAAGGATAGAACAAGAGTTTAAATATATACTGGACATCATATTCTGAAACTAAGAATGGATATCCTTAAAAATTATGCCCCAATTAATTTGAAACTTTGATTCTCCTTTCTGTGAGTACATGCAAACTACACATGGTAAACCTCTAAACTAATGCCCTAAACAATTTAGGATTGTATACTACATATTCTATCAGACAGACTTCAAACTTAATTAAGAAAAAGAGACATTTCCATGTTCTTTAAAAGATATTGAAGGCAAGGCAGCTGAATTACCTACTTGTGCTTATGGGTTTGGGGTTGTAGAAGAGTTGCATGTTTTGGGGAGCCCTTATTGCTCATTTATATAGAAAAAATTATAATTCCTGTCCTGTATCTTTGTAGACATCTGGAGAAGAGATACTTAAACAGAAGTTTATCCCTTTCGAAGAGAAATAAGAGCTGCTTTAGAGTAAGAATACTTGATTATTTTTTCTAAAAGATTCAGTAATAGATGACTTAAAAACTTAACCTTTTAAAAGGTAGGACGAATAAGCAGCATTCCAAATTCCAGTTTTTCTGTAATAGCCATTTATAATATTATTTAAAAAAAGAATGAATGTGGAGTAAGATCTGCTTATGTAACTGATCTTGCTTGACTAGAGGAATTCAATTCCATTGATTCATCCAGCATGTGCAAAATAAAATTTCCGTTTAGCCTTTCTGCAGCTGAGATATATGATCTCATAGCAATCCACAGAAGATGCTCAAACCAAGCTGACTTTGGAACCAGACCTTCCTTACAAATGTTCCATGCTTATTAATGACCAACTATTATTTTTTTAAATAAATACGTAATAGACTAAAACATCAGTGCATATTGAATTTGTTTCTGTCTGTGCACTTTTAATTTTTCTCTAGTAAGAAACACCGAAAAAACCTTTGTCATATATGAAATGTACTAATAAACTTCAGTATTTCCTTTTGTAGGACAAAATGAAAGAAATGTTACGTGTGTACTTTCTAAGGAGTGCAAAACATAAATTTAAGTTTCCAATAGTAATAGTTGCTTTTAGTCAATAATTTGATGTGTAATTTTTAATTTTAAGTAAGTGGGACTCAGGACCTTGAAAAAATTCTGGTGGGTCTCAAAAAGAAAATTCTTTGAGTGTTCAGAATTCTAACTTAACACTGACTGAAATGGCAGCATGACAAGCTTTCATTCATTTTGGCCTGATGGTGATTCTGCTTATTTAGGCAAGACATGCCCACAGTTATTTGTTATTATTGATATAATTTATAAAGAAAAATGGCACATCAATCATTTAAAAAGTCACACTTCACTATTTAAATTAGTTTCAAGTACCTCCCTCCACGATTGTAGGTAACATACACTAAGTGAACATTATTAACATTGGAAAACAAAACAGTCAAAAGTTAGCAAATACATGAATTATGTTCCGGAGGTAGCCCAGCTTAAACATTGTCTTTGCACATCATTAGTCTTTGTGTGGCAACGTAATTCTGTTCTAATGTTCTCTTAATTTAAGGATCATACACTGAAAGTTTTCCTGTTATTTCCCACTTCTTGCAGTTCAGTTTTACATATACTCAAGTTTGCAAATTTCCTATACCATTAAAAAGTTTTAGGCATATCTGTCATATTTAACAGAAAATAATATGCTTCATCCAATTTATCAGAGTACCTGGTTTCTTTCAGTATAGCAAAATTTTTCTGTTAAACCGAGATCTATTAAGAAGTGATTGTGGTATTCACATTCTCTGAACAGAGAGAGACATGATTCTCTCTCCCAGGATTTTTCCTGGGAAATTGTGAGGAGCTGTTCTTTGACATATGTGGCATGTGTTATGGAGATTGTTTACTGAAGAGTGAGTCGTTAATTGGACACCGGTGATGGTTGTTTGGATTGATTGGCCAGTTGGGTCAAAGCTGTGTCGTGACTGTCTGGAAACGGGTTTTTCTTGCATAGTATAGTATTAATGTAATATAATTTAGCTTAATAAAAGCAATTTATTTAGCCTTCTGCAAAGTGGAGACAGGGCGTGTTATTCCCCTTTCAAAGGTCACTGCTTCAATAATTGTTTGCTTTTTAAAACCTCTCTTGGTATGTAGGGTACCTTGTCTTATCTAAAAGAACAAACAAAATCACCCTTTTTCTCTAAATGCCCACATTTCACACACTGGCATACTTCAGAAGCACAAAGGTATGTCTTTCCATAAATTATATGGAATACAAATATATGATAAGGTATATGATTCCCTCACACAATCCTATTTTTTCCTAAGCCTTTAAAAACTTAATTATTTTTTACGTTCAGGATACAGTTGGAGAAAATACATGTACCAGATGATAATGCTGCAGTGCTACTTCCCAGTCAGTAACAGACGTCAGCACACTTGATAGCAGTAAAACAAACATTAGAGGACACTGGGATACACAAGTCAGGAATTTTAGTTGAACACAAAGATGTCGGTCAAGCCTTGAAAGTTGCCCAGAAAGTTGCATTAAGTATTAATTTCAGTGTTGTATACCCTCTGTTTCCCGTCCCACTAGAAAACTGGCAGTCGGGGAGGATTCTTTTTGATAAATTTCTCAGACGAGAATAAAGTGTAAACGCAGAAATATTAGATCTGAGACCCATTTACTGATAAAGAAGGCTAAGTGTTCCTACAAAAGCGAGATTGGAAAAGGAGCAGAGAGGAAAAAAGAGAGAAGGAGAAAGAACCAGAAGACAGAGACAGTGCTAGCACAAGAGCCCCGGCGCTCCGTCAGCGCTGGCTTGGCAGGCTGAGCGTGCGAACCGCGGTGTGTTCGCGTAGCTCCCGTGGCTGGCTGGGCACGATTTCCAAACAGCAGCAGGCTGCGTATTCCCTCTGTTAAAAATAGGTTAGAAACGGTTGTAAAATAGTTGATAATTGTTAAGCATGTACCGTTAGTCTGGTTATGGTAAAAGGGGTTTAAAGAGTTGTAACAAATACGGTACTCTACGTACCGTAATACACCACCCCTCAGCGAAACGAGCCAGCCTGGACAGAACTATAATGGGCCAATCAAGCGCCTTAAACCTTCATGCAAATGAAGGATCCAAAAAGAAACCAATCCAAAGGGACAAAAAAAAAAGGATAAATCTGATCCACTGAAGTGCCGCTCCACCTGGAAAGTCGGGGACATCGCTGCTCAGAAGACCCAGCGCCCGCGCCGCATCATCCTCGACGGGAACGCTCCTACTCAGCCTGCGGGCCCCCTGGCTTTAGGCCTTTCTTTTTATTATAATAAATGCTGACATCACTTTTAGTACCGGGAGTGTGGTCCCGTTTTTAACACCTCCGTCGGCAGAGAACAGGTTGTCGCCGTCCGGGCGCGGTCCTGGAGCACCGGCGGGTTCCCGGGTCGGGGCGCTGCGGCTGCGGCGCGGGGAGCACAGTGGTGGCCGCAGCGTCGGCTGGGCGCGAAGTGGCCACGGGCTGGTCGCCACGGGCTAGTGCTGCGGCGGGGTAGTGCGGCGGGCAGCACAGGAAACAGCAACGGGGGCGGCTGCGGCTGCGTGCAGGCTGGCGTCGGCTGTGCCCGGGACTGTTTGCAGAGATGCCCGCTCCGTTGGGGATGCAGCGACGAGGTCGTCCCTTTGGTGAGCTGGTTAGTGCAAAAGGTGATGCAGGGCAAAGCAGGTACGGACAGAAAGCAGGACCACTGGGAGAAAAAGGCGGGAGGCTGCAAGGCAGAGAAGGGCCAGACTGACCCTCCGAGAGAGCCCCTGATTCGTCTAAGAAACCCAAAGCAAAGCTAGCGGGTTTTGAGTCACAGCTAGCTGCTCTAATCTGTCCTTTCTCTGCCCTGTTTTGGTTGCCAGGCAAAGCCTTCTGCGGGACAGGCCTCCAAGCACATGTACGGCCCCTATAACATATGCTGAGGCATAAATAAAAATAAAATTGGTCCCTCTCACTGCATCATATATCCTTTGTTTCACACTACTGCATTACAAGATAGGAAGCACATCAAAAATTGTTTGTAAGGAGTTTTGGAGAGTGTTTCTTGATTTCAAAATGGTCACTCACAGAGGTAAGTAAGTACCACCAGAATATCACAGTCTGGCCTCAAAAGTTTTGCTGTTGATTTATTTTTATATGGAAGCAAAATTTTGCATATAAAATTTAAATATTGCTGCATAACCATTTCAAATTTGTTACAACAGAGAAGAGGTTTAGACCTCAGAGGCTGAGGTCCCTTTACTCAATCTAACTGAATAGTTCTGAAGCTCTTCTTGCACCATCTACAAGTCTGACTGCAGTTAAATCGCTGTATTGCAAAAGGTACCAAACCATGTTTCATCTGCCTCATCAGCTTTTGAATACTGTGCTCTGTTTTGGGTCCCTTGTGACAATAAAGACCTTGAGGTGTTGGAGCATGTCCAGAGAAGGGCAATGGGACTAAGGAAAGGTCTGGAGCACACGTCAAATAAGGAATGGCTGAGAGAGCTGGGGTTTAGCCTGGAAGAGGAGGTTCAGGGGTGACATTGTCACTCTCTACAACTACTTGACAGGAGTGTGTAGCCAGGGAGGGGTTGGTCTCTTCTCTCAAGTAACAAGTGACAAGACAAGATAAAACAACCTCAACGAGGTGTAGGCTGGATTAATCAGGAATAATCTCCTCATGGACAGGGTTGTCAAACCCTGATGCAGATTACCAAGGCACCAGTCCTGGAGGGATTTAAAAGGTAAGCAGATATGGACTTAACAACATGGTTAAGTGGTGGGCTTGGCAGTGCTGAGTTAAGGGTTGGATTTGGTGATTTTAGAGGCCTTTTCCAACCTAAAGTCTTCTGGTTTTATGACAGAGACCGCCTTTGTCCCAGGCCCACACTGAGCCTTTTTGCGTTAGCACAGTACCATGTTCCTATGTGGTGAAGAGCGCCCAGTACATTCAAGGGGATCCAGCTCCAGCTTATTTTCAGGTAAGAACAGACTTCACTCTGTGATCATTTCAAGATCAGTTATTTTTCCCAAGTGAATACATTTTAAAATCTGTCAAATAACTCAATTTTTAATCTGTTAAATGCATATAAAGTAATTACAATCATCCAATTGTTATATATAAAGATTCTTATAAATTCCTAAATTTGTCATCATAATTATTAGGATGTGAAATGATGCGTTTTAAGGAAAACAGCTCTAAAAATAACTTTGAAAAATATTAATCTCTGTGCTCATATTCACATAAAGATAGGGAAGCGCATCTGATTTATCAACCAAACTTGTAATCTTGAAGGGGAAAAAAAGGAAAAAAGAATTCTGATTAGTCTAAGACGTCTAAGAAGATTTAAATCAGGCTACAAATAAATACTATTATAATAGCATATTTTAGACATCTGAATAAATAAAACATGCCTTTAAAAAAATGCATGAGCTCAGTAGACTGTCCAGCAGGCAGGCACTGAACTCTCTGTAGAAGAAATGAAACAGTAAAGCTGCAGAGCTCCAGTAAAAATATCTACACAGACATCTGAGAAAAAGTGTTTGGAGACCACAATTAAAGTGATAAAAAAAAATTAGAAATATTAAGAAACAATACATCTATCTCCTTATAGCTGATGATAATACGCATTTTAAAATGAGGGAAATTAGACCATTTTGATGATTTTCAACATCAGAAAGTATTTCCTGTTCATATTCAAAGATCCTGCTGGCTGGAAAGGGAAAAAAAGGAGGAAGAGAACTCAAGTTCAAGTCCAGCTAAGAAAGTGAGATCCTGTTTTCTGAGTTCTTTCAGTGCAAATTTCTTTAGCCTTTTGGAAGAACTATCTTACTGATGCTGGAATTTTGCCGATAATTTTGAATGTAGCAGAAAT